AGGTTCTCAAAGCTATGGAGCCACACAGCCAGCTAACCTGTGACAACCCTTTCACCGTGGAGAGATGTCTTTGTTTCTTCGTTATCCGTTCTGTGGGTTCCTTTGTGATAACCTGTGGTTGGTTATTAAATTGGGAGGAGGGTGGGGAGCTTATACTGAGAGATTTACCAAAAATATGCTATTAAATTTGAGTATTTCTTGAAAATTTCTTCGACCAAAGGGGCGAAAGACCGGAGGATACATGAAACAAAATTAGCAAAAGTTGAAAATTGTTGAAGTTGGGTAGTTAGATCACGAGGGTTCACTATACTATTCATTGTATTGTGAACCTTAAACATTTCCACAATAGTAAAAAAGATCCAAAGTAGGGACTTAAAAAAAATTACTTGGGCACATAAAAAATCTGATAATTATAATAGCGTACCTCGTAAGGTTGTAATTGTGTTGTTTTAATGAAGACTCCTGGAGGCCTTGGGTGGTTGGTCACCCATAAATTAACATGTATTGTTCATTATAATTATCACTGCAATTAAGAGGCGACACCTTTCCTGAGGCGGGGCAAAAACCGAAGTAACCAGGTGCCTTCCGGGAAAATTTTCACAGGGAATATATTTGGGGGGATGTAGAAAAAGACACAGTACCACCACCCCAACCTTTATGGCACTATTCCTAATTTTCTTCCTCCTCCTCTTTCCGCTGCCCTATATGTTTGAAAAACGTTTAATAAAGGCACCCTGAGTTCTAATCTAGTCATCCCTGGGAATCAGCCCACTGCTTTTTTTCCTTCTTCTGATCTTCTTTATGTTTTCTATGAATTGTTAGCTATTTTGTGAAACATGGGGAGGCACATTCTCTCCTTCTAGAGCAGCCAAGGAATTTTAGAAAACGATCCCATTGTACAGTAGCTGGGACTAGACACAGACCAGGCATCCGCAGCACAGACCAGCTGAAAGAAGGAAACTGACAAACTGACACTGTTCTTTTCAGCATCGTCTTGCTTTGCTCAGTTTTGGAAAAGAAAAACATTAAATGATTTATTCCATGCTGGCTTGATCTTCTGAACATTATTAAAACTATTACTTTCCCTTGACAAAACCTAGCTGGAAATCTATGCATATCAACTAAATGGGGACATTCAACTAAAAAAAATAGAGCAGAGATTATAATTACATAGATGACAGCTCATTGTATGTAGAATAAAGAGGCTCAGTGGTAAGGAGTCTATAAAGAGACAAAAAAGTATCTGGAGGAGGGAATGATACACTGTGGGAGAAAGGAGAGTTTATGACCAAAGCAGAAAAGGAACCAGAGACATTTTTTAAAAGCAAGGGGGCAGAGGTGGAAAATAACAAGTTATAGAAGAAATGGTGTGAAATTATGTGGTAGAAAAATTTGAAAATCAAGTTGACTTCAACTCATACTGATACTATTGGCAGAGGAGGATTTCTTTTCTTTTTTATTAATTTATCATTTTATTGGGAGCTCTTACAAATATCATAACATTCCATAATTCAAAGCATTCAAGCATAATTGTACAACTGCTACTATAATCAGTTTCAAAACATTTTCTTTCTTCTTGAAATCTGTGATATCAGCTTCTCTTTATTCACCCCTCCCCCACGTTCCACACAGGAATCTTGTTGTTATTGTTATATATTGTTATTATTATTATATATATTTTCACCTACAATTCTATTATTTGCTCCCCTCAAGTTAAGCTCTGCAGTCACCATTGCTATCAGCTCCCCTTTCCTCCCCTTCCCCCCTGTCTTCCTGTATCCTAAAGGACTCATTACTCCTGTTGCTGTTTCTGTAGGGTCTTCCATCCTGGAATTCCTGCATCAAACTATCTTATTTGTATGCCTGGATGTACATAGGTCCAACAGTATTAATGAGGTTAAATATAAGCCTTAATAGTAAGGGGAGGAAATATTAAGGACCAGAAGATAGTTATGGGTTTCATCAGTACTATGCCACAGCCTGGCTTCCTCATCACCCCCACATGGCCCCTCTGTGAGGACCTGTCCAATTGTCTTGCAGGTGGGCTTTGGGTCTCCACTTTGTCCACACTTCTTCACATCAGTTTGATTGCTTGTTTTGGAACTTCTGGTACCTATTCCTGTCAACACCTCATGATCGCACAGGCTGGTGTGCTTCTTCCATGTGGGCTTTGTTGCTTCTCTGCTCAATGGCTGCTTGTTTGACTACAAGCCTTTATGACCCCAAACACTTTATTTTTTAATAGCTGGGCACCATCATCTTGCTTCACCATATTTGCTTAGGTACCCATTTTGTCTTCAGTGATTGTGTCAGGAAGGGGAGTATCTTACAGTACCGCATTATTAGAACAAACCATTCTTGTACTTAGGTAAGATTTTAGTAGAGGCCCTAAGTCCATTTGCTTCCTTATTAGTTTACATATATGTATATGTATAGACAAATGCACCTATATTTATATAATTAGATATGTACATATTTACATATCTATATTTATACCCAGATATAAAAAATTATTGCTTTCGTCTTCTTTCTAGAGGAGGATTCCTGAGGCTGTAAATTTTCACAGAAGCAGATCACCTCATCACTCTCCCCTGGAGCCCCTGGAGGGTTAGAACTGCCAGCCTTTCAGTTAGCAGCCAAGCACTTAACTCACTGTGCCACCAAGGCTCCTTCATAAGGTCATACAACATATATGTACCATATGTATACACGTTATGCTGCATAATATGTACAGCACAATCTACTGTATGTTATTTAACTGGTAATAATATGTATCTTTTTGCAGGCAGCCTCTTGAATGAGGTGACTAGTTCTCCAACCGAAGGAACACAGGGAAACTTTGTAAATAGTGTTGAGGTTTTTTTTCTGTGTAAAGCCTTTTGTAAGCATAGGAGAAGAAATTGTCGCGTTGTCCACTATAACCTTTTCTCCACTTTAATCTACTTTACCTCTTTAAGATAGAGGAAAGCAGCCATTAAAAATATTGCTCCAGTAGTCATATCATCCTGTTATTTTCCCCCCAACACCTCTATTTTTAAAAGTTATGATATTCAGGGTGGAGAGGGAAGGATGA